AATGGTAAGTCCTTTGATTGTGTCATTCATACAATATTTCCGAGACCATTAATATTCCAGCTCCTAATGACTATCCCTTGTGTCTTCCAGTCCACCCGATCTTCTTTTGTGTTTGCCCCTTTTCTAAAAATCTCCATCATTTAGGCTACGGGGAAGAGGCAGGGTTACAATCATAGTGGTAAACGTCCTAGGAGGGGGCCTGATTGCTCGCATCCATCTCTGTTGACGCATCACCCACCGGGTCCTGATGCATTGTGGTGAGAGAATCATCTAGCTTATAATCCCCATACTTCCACGGGTTCCTTGTCTCGGGACAAGGGGCAGTCATGATCCTCCTCGTCCTCATATCGCTCTCGGAGCAATCGCTTCTGTAGTATATGTCCGGATCTATGGCGAACGCCCTTGAGTCCAGATCGTTGTCTCCCTTTGGAATCCCAGAAGTAAAGAGGTGTGCCATCGAGACTTCCAGCAGTTCTGTTGGAATGTTGGGGCCCGCCAGCATGTTATATGGAATCGCTGTCACGGTTCTCCAAGGCCTCCACATCATCCCACTCTTCAGCTTGGTTTCCTCTGACAGTTTGCAATTAGAGGGAAGAAGGCACGATTGGAGTCTCTCTAGGTCCATATGATGGTCCTGCTGGTCCTCCTAGCCCGCTTGGGAGGATCTGCCCTCCTGACCATCTTCCAGGGCAAATGTTTTGTACACACCCAGTGGGTACCCCTCTGTTACCTTTTCTTGAAGAATCCTGCCAACATTTTGTCCTTCCTCAATCCTTGGGATTGTGAAGGACACATTTGTGGTGATTTGCCATTGTCCCTCTTTCTCGATGTACCTGGCCGCAATCAGTAGGCGGGTGTCCATCAATGTCCATCGTGTTGATTTGGCCGAGCCCACTTCGTGTGGTGCCTCCCCATTCGTGATGTGCTGAATGGCAGTGAACTCTAGTGTGTACTCTGCATTCCACTTTATTAACTTTTTTGTTTGGGCCATAACCACAACCACTTCTTTTTCCAAAAGTGAACGTGCTCATTCCTCTTCTGCCTCTGTTTGGTTTGAATTTGGTTCCTTCTTTTTCTGATTTTTCCTATCTTCCATTTGTTTGGGCGCAAATCCTGAAAGTGGTCCTTGGTGTTGAGAACTTCTTGTCCTTGTCTGCTAAACCTTGCTCTCTTGCCCTTTTTTTTTTGCATATCTGAAGGCAGTGTATTCAAAGAATTCTTCTGCCTTCTCTTTCGTTAGCGTGTCATTCTGATTTTTTGACTTCTCAATACCAACGATTGTCCCATTCTTCCCGTTTTTTTGGGGGATCTCTCAATGTGCTTCAGACAGGCTGCTCTGGTGTCAAACGCGTGCTCTCTCTCCCTCTTGGCCTTTTCGTTGTATTCCCTCAGCCACTGAAGTGATTGTTGGGGCTCAGACGCACTATCCGCGGCTGTTCCCCCTGTACCTTCACTGACCTTGCTTGCTTTGTTGTCTGCACCGTGGCCGATGGAATCTGAAACCGTAATTTTCTTTTCCTCGTCTGCATGGGTCTGTTCTGTCCCCTTCTTCTCATCTCATTGCCTTCCTCTTCTTGAGATCCACCTCTGTCATCCCCTGGAAGTCTACTTCGTCCTCTTGGGCCTCTTGGGCCTCTTGTTCCATTCTCTGTCATCCCCTGGAAGTTTATCATCTGTTTGCGTCTTTTCCCTTCTCTCTTGGGCCTCTTGGGCCTCTTGTTCCAACTGTCTCAGCATTTCTTGAAGAGCTGCTGGTTCTTTGTCCCACAGCAGATCTTCCCTGGCTTTTTCTTCTCTAACCACACGAGAGTCAATTACTGGGTTGGTGTTCATCTTTGTTGGATTCCCTGTTACTATGCATGTTGATTTCTTTTGCCATTAAACAATTCTTAGAATATCAATATCGCTTGATCTAGCAATTCGATTACTTTCTTCGAAGTTACAATCAATTTGGGTAAATCTGTTGTCGGCAGGGGGGGCAATGTTGGGTTTTTTCGTTGAAGGTTCCTAATCATCGTAGTATCACACCCAATTTGGGTCATCCAAATTGTAGTCAAACACTAGCCATCGTAGTTGGAATCTACATGATGAACCAGGCGTCTAGGGCATCCTCAACTTCCACGAGCATCTTGGGATGGAGTTTCGGCTCCTATTGTTTTGGAAACTTTGTGCAATTTGCATCGGTTCCCATATGACCGCGTTCCCTGCATCCGAAACAGATCGGAGAGGTTTTGGCGGAGACCGTAACTTCTAGTACTCTGCTCTCGATCTGGAATTTCCACGTCAGTGGAAAAACCGGGGGGTCATCTGTCTTGACCTCTAGTAAGGCCGCCATGGAGCCACAACGAGGTGGTTGAAATCTGGAGTCGGCAGCTGGATACTGTTTCTCCAGTCTATCCACCAACAGACCATGGAATCCTGGTTGAATGTTGTCGAACTGAACCCATAAATTTTCTTTCATCAGTGTTTTCTTATATGAAACCGTGAAAGTCGGATTTTGCCTCTGAGCAGTCAGTTTCTTCCATTTGGTTATCGTGCAGATCGATCCGTTGCAGTCCCTGGACTGCATTTCTGCTGCGATCCGTGTCATGGTTGAAGACCACCATGATGTTGCTACAACCCAAATTCTGCAGAGAAAAGGCTTCCCCAACATGTTTGAGTTTTGCCTCCTTTTCTTTGGTTTCTATAATCCACTCTCTTCTCTGCCAGCATGAGATCTTCTCTGTTGCGTGCAAAATTGAAACCCACTCCATGCCTTTCGTGGAGATCGTCCAGTTCGGGCACTTTCCCATCGGGGTACTTTCATACAATCACTTCTTCTTCTTTCCCTTCTCTTTTTATCTTTTCTGTGATTGGTTCGCCTTTTGTTTTTTCAATCAAGAAGAATTAAGTGCTTCGTTGTCTATGATATTCAGTGCTGTCTTATCCATTTGTTGGTTGCGGTGCAGGGAGGTGGCGTTCTGAACCACTTGTTTGAAACAGGCCGCATCGCGGCCTGTAGTTGGACTGGCCATGAAAGCAGAACCAGTGTAGTTGGACTTGGTTACCCTTGTGGAGGGGCTAGCTTTGTTTGCTTATGGCGAGGTACTGTGAACAGCTAAACTGTGGAGCAATGAGGGAGGGAAAAGGGAGGAGTCGGACAGAGGTAGCAAAGTAGAAGTGGCAGTGCAGGAAAAAGTTTGAAAAAGTGGGTATTTGGCGAGGGCTAAGATTGAGAAACTGAATAGTTGCCCAACGAGTGGGGTGGGGGGGAAGGAAATAGACAGCCAAACAGAAAGCTGGGTGTACGGGAATCGCTGAAGGGGAGGGTTAGCGGCAGAGTAAGTCGGGGTCTAGGAGGACAGTGGAACTCTTTGGCTATGGGGAGGGGGGTGTTGTCAGGTGGGGTGAAGAAGTAAGATAGCAGGTAGAATCTCGTGTGAGGGGGGAGGTAGGCTGTGAGTAGATAGTTAGGGCTGTGGATGGTCAGTGTGAGTACTGAATGTTTTGGTTTATCTCACTTGAAGGACGAAGCCAGCTTGTCTTCTCTTGGCTGCTATTGCAGTCACGCTCGCCCTTACTAGTGGTAGTTGTGGTCGCTGTTGTAGTGCACAGCCTCGTCGAAAGTTCCCCCGTGATAAACGTGTCACATGTCCTTCAACAAAAGGAGGACGGTCTTGTGCTTTCCTCAGTGGGTCCCTCGTGTCAGTGACACGTCAGGGCTCCATGTGGTTGTAAAGCACCTTTTCTGTGATTGGGTGGCGTGTTGCAGTCTTCTTCCAATTTTGTCGCTTCACGGGCATAATCTTCCTTTCCTTTTTAGGACATGTCCCATCGCTGAATAGTTGTAGTGCTCTCACCTCATATGTTCTCTCCTCACCTTCCTCTTTCCTCGTAGAGGACTCTAATCCCTGTGGGCCCTATCCCACCGTTTATCCGTTCCCAGCGAACGGCTGGATAGTATTCGCCCTCCCCCTATTCCTCTTCGTTGTCCACAAAAGACATCGTTGCATCTTTTGTCTTGTAGTCCTTAGCTCACTCCTTCACTCTCCTTCGCTCCTGTAGCATCTCACGATTCTTAGTCTCCCGTATGAAGATTAGGGTATGTATGGAAGCCGCAAGATTCTGTCCGTATCTCCCTTGTCTTGTCACATCCTTTGCCCCACTTCTTTTCAATTCGAAGAGGATCCAAGATCCTGTAGGCGCTATCCCACCTCCGTTCTGGTCAGCGGACGCTGCGATAGCTGCCGGAGTTTTCCTCCCCAAGATGCAGCTACACGTGAAGATGCATCGCACACCTAGGCGCTAGGCTACGACCACTCACCCTTGTGGCACGGCTCTCCGCGTTTGTGCGTGGGGGGCTGCTCACCCGGGGGGTGTTACGCGGCGCGATGGCGTGGCAGCGTGGCCCGAAACATAGTGCTGCAGAAATTGTGATAACCCGCGGCGCGTTCGGTTCCTCCTCTACATCTGGCCATGTCTGTTTCTTTTCTTGTCCAGCACTTCAGCAAAAAATAGTGAGCACTTAGAGAGAGAGAGAGAGAGAGAGAGAGAGAGAGAGAGAGAGAGAGAGAGAGAGAGAGAGAGAGAGAGAGAGAGAGAGAGAGAGAGAGATCCTATTGGTGAACATTGCTGTGTTTCCAGGAGCTGCCTATTTACAACAGCTTCATAACTACGGTCCCAATGCCCCACAGATGGAGTTCCTATTGCTGAATTTCACATACCTATTGCTGAATTGCTGTATGTGCATGCACATCCCTATTTACTACGGCTTTGGAACTATGGTCAGAATACCCCAGAATCTGAAATAAATTCAATCGCCTTTGGATCGCTCTGTCCTCTACCAGTCGTCTCCATTTCTCCTCCCCTCTGCAAATTCCCCTTGGTGTGTGTTGTAGGTTGTGAGGTTGTTCTGTGCATAAGGAGCTCTTGCAGCTATGGTTTGTATCCTTCATTCTGATGTGTAGATGGTGCATGTGAGTAAGATACTGTACATTATCTCATCAATTTCTTGTATGCAGCTTGAGAAGCATGTATTCGGCAATCAGAATGACAACACAAGGACTATCCAGATGTTGTTAGATGCATTGAATTCCTTAAGGAGGTGCTATGTCTTCGCAAGGATGAACCCCTCTGCTGTACTATCAAGGCGCCGGGAGAGTGCCAAGGTATGTTTTGCTTCCTGTTGCTTGTCAAAATGTCAGACCGTTGAACCTACTGGTGGAACCTGGTAATTGCCTTTGGTATGGGTTTTAGCCAGAAATGTACAGTTATCTGATACTCATCCGGCTGTGAGGTTGGATGGTTGGACTTGAAGTTAAGTTTATCCGTTTTGGCGAGCAGGCAAATTTGTTAAGAGAGAGGAAGTTCTGCTTTATCTATTTCCCTGGTATTTTTATGTCTGTACATGGTCTGATGGAACTGATACGCATCAGATACACTGGGATTCACCACATGGACTGCACGAGTAAATTGGACATTGAGGACGACGAATTCACTGTGCTTTTTCCTCCAGAAAGGAGTTGGGCGAGTCCTGGTTTGCATAGCATCGCTTTGGTGGTTGGGGGGAGGGGGGGTCCTGTCAAGTTTTTTTGAAGTTACCCATTTTGAGCAATAAGTGAGCAGCACCACTGTAATAAACCCATTTTGAGCAATCAGTGAGCAGCACCACTGTAATAACAATGTTCGAACTTCAAACTTCTGTATGAGCTAGCACTATGAGTCTGAGGTTGTGATCGAGTTGTTGGCGTCTCAGCTGCGCCCAGTGAAATGTTTTGGTGTGAACATGTTCCCACTCTCTTTGGAGTGTGAAGTGTTTCGTGTCTGTACAAGCCTGTCCTGCGCTCATCGAGGCCGCCAGAACGTGTTACCAGTGTCTGTATGTGTTGCATTAGGGAGGATGTAGCACACATCTGAAGTGCTGTGGTTGCCAAGCGGCAGGTCATTTGATTGTTGATGTCATCCGCACATAAAGTCTGCACATCCAGTATGAACAACCTTGCTTCAGAATCATATAACTATGTATGTGGTCAAATGCTTATGAAGTAAACATTGCATATCCAACGTACCAAGTTGTTCTACAATGGGAACTCGTTGAGTACTTGATGCAGAAGCCAGACCCTTCTCTGAACCAATTTAAGCATATAGGCCTTTGTAGCCAATGTGGTTTGGTTGGAGACAATGGCTCAAGGAGACTCGCCAGAGTACTTACTGGAAACATTTCTTTAGTCTGCTTCACTGCCTGCCGCAGCTAATGAAGTATTACCGGGATCAGGCTTTCAGACAGTGTTTATTGTTACATTGTTTGGTCAGGGTATGATTGGGAGTGGGAATGGCGGATCTCTAGGGGCAGGAGCTCTGGATGTCACCCCGGGGAAGAGGTCGAGAGTGGCACGAAATAATATTGCTGGTGTTGAAGGTGAAGGTCAGCAAGATGATGGAACACCACTAAGCTGGCAAACGGTGAGGGCATCTGATCTTCGTTGCCCTTCTTACACTATTGCAAGGTGTTCTTTATGAAACTGGGTGTTGTGAAGTGTTATTCATGGAGCAAGCAAGGCATTCTGTCCAATTGAACTACTGAGAGGCAAAGTTGTGAGTGGTACTTTATGGTGGATATCCAGGTACTGTGTTTATTCTTGGAGATTTTTCTTTTTATGTAGTTCCAGGGTTGCATCCTTGTCGACCGCCTACCCTGATGGCCGACCGTATTGCAGCCGACCAGTAGGGCGGACCAGTCGGCGGTCTACCGACCAGTCAGAAAACAGCCATCCACTGATTTTTTTTCGAATTTGAGTTGGGGGCTGTACTGCGCTTGCTGAGTATAGCCCAAATCCGCTGAAAAACTTTTGGGGATGGGGGGGGTGTGGGGGGGGTTGTCTCTTATACACATCTAGATGTGTATAAGAGACAGCCCGGCGACAGCACAGAAACAAAGGCTTATGAGGGACCAATTTTGGGTCCAGTTTGACAANTAGGGGGTGTATAGGGGAATATAGGGGTGGTTTAGGGAGTATTGGAGGGGGTATAATGGTGTTAGGGGGCGGTTTGGGGTTGTTGGGGGGGTGTATGGGGATATTGGGGGTGGGTATGGGGGTATTGGTGGGGTTATTAGGGGTTCTGGACCCAACAAGAAAAAGAGAAAAAATAAATAAATAAAATTGTGGGGTGCCGACGACCGCCGACCGGTAGGTGCCAACCAGCCAACCGGTTGGCTGTTCCAAAGGCCGCCAACCATTGGGGTATGCAACAATGTGTAGTTCTGAAAATAAATCATAAAAAATATTATGAAAATGTATACACACAGGAGTGTCTTGTTCTCTTGCCAGCAGTGATCCTTGCCTGATGTAGATGTCCAGTACAGGTGTTTGCTGTTGGTTCAGCTTTTGTCTCTTCAATCCAAACTCTTGGCAAGGAGACTCGTGCCCGCTGCTGTATCTTCGTGCCTTGTCTGTGAGCATATGCTGTGTTTAGGGTATGTTTGACATGTTCCTCTTCTCCCATGACACCATCAAAATAGGATTCACTTGAAGTACATTGTTAGTGTTTGATGTATCATGAGCACATGGAATGATTACCAGAGTATCCAAAGACATCTGCCTCACTTCAACGCGAAAAACAAATGAATGGTTTCTAATCTTTGCTTTCAGTGCTCATGAGACAGAATCGTGTGTGGCATTGTTGAACTATTTAGGATTGCAAAATCATCTGCCATTCTTCAAGGCATTTCCTCTTTTATTGGGCCTCAAACCACCACTTCCTGTCCAGCTATTTTGTTCGAATGAATGCGGGTTAACCTGCCGCGTTAAACCACCACTTCCTGTCCAGCTATTTTGTTCGAATGAATGCGGGTTAACCTGCCGCAATAACAGTGGCTCAGCCTAGCAGAAGGAAAAGGCTGACAACATCAGAGGAAAATAAAAGATTGCACCCATGTCGATTCATCTTTTGTTTGCGTGGAGTGAGAGGAACTCGTGGTTTAACGCTGTGGCTTCATTATTTAGTGCGGAGTGTCAATTGGGTTCTTTTGCAACCAGCACAATAAATGCACTGCCTCACCTCATGACAGGTGGAGTATGATATTTGTAAACTATTTAGAATTTCAACACAGTCTGCTATTTTCCACTGGTAAGTCAGAACAAGTGCAATAAACACCTCGCCTCTTCCTCATGACAGGTGATGTACAATATTTGTGGAAGTGTTTAGAATTGCAACAGCATCTGCCATTTCTATGAGTTGTGTCAATGCTTTCTTGTGTGACTCGCATCTGGAGCTCTTCGTGGTTGGACATTGGGCTACATGTGGCCAGTATGTCCTGTGAAATTGACGAGAGATCACACGTCTCTTTCTTGTGGTGTCATTTGATAGGTCTATTGGGTGCATGTGAACTACTTAACAGCAGCAAAAGCAGCACAGGTATGTGTGTGAACATCAGGGTGCATGGGAAGGTGCACTCTCAGAACTGAAGAATCTCTCTCTCTCTCTCTCTCTCTCTCTCTCTCTCTCTCTCTCTCTCTCTCTCCCTTCCTGCAAAAAGTGGAAGAAGGAGAAGACAACACTCACGGTTATACTCCCTCTGTGTGTTTCTCCCGTCGATGGTGCGTTCTTGAGGGGTCGGAGATGGCTGGCTTAACGGTGAGTGGCAGTCCCGTCGTGCAGGTCGATGGTGGGCGGTGGGAGCTCGGGCTGCTCTGGATGTTGGACGGTGGGACGCGGTAGGTGGGGGGGGGGTAACCTGGCTGGCACATGCTTCAATGTGGGAGTTCAAATGAACTCCCGCCATCCACAATCTTCAAAAGTGCGATGGATCAGCCGCTGCTACCAAGGTCAATGGCCAAGATCAGCCGCTTTGTTTTTGCTCGAACTTTGTTTTTTTTTTTTTTTTGGGCTGGCAGTGGACTCCACGAGGGCGAGGGAGGCCAGGCCACTACTACAGCATTTTCGACCCCCAGCAAAAGTGTGCTGTGGGAAACTGGGAGCCAACTGGGCTGGCCCACCGGCTGGTCAAACCGGGAGGCTCCGAGGTGAGGGAGGGGTCCCCAGGTCATTCGGGACTAAAACTCGTCTGGACATGTTTACGGACGAGGGAACCATGGTCCGAGGCCAGTTTGGCGTAGATGTCTGGAGCCTGTCCGGTAATCCGGATGTCTAGATCAATCTTGGCTCAGGTTCGCTTTTTGGTCCGCATCTGGGTCTGTGGTTATCATAATTTGCTCCATTTAAAACACAGAAAAACACACTGCAATTTCTTTTTGCTTGTATGGATGAGAAACTTCAGAAAATTGAAAGTAAGTTTACCACATAGAATCCTTCCGGACATCCGTTAAAATTGGAACGATACAGAGAAGATTAGCATGGCCCCTGCGCAAGGATGACACTCATAAATTGAGAAATGGTCCAATTTTTTTTATTTAAAAAAAAAGGAAGAAAAAAACTTAAAAAAAGACTTCATCACATAATGTGGCTCCCGAGGTAGTGTCGCGTTAGTGCTGCGGTAACGCAGCGCTAACGTCACGCTCCTGGTCACGTCTGGGTGTTGGGGGCTCGTGTTAGGGTTGACGATAGCTGTTGATCTGAGTTGCTAAAACTTGACGACGGGGAGGCTATGGCGTCGCAGGGCAAAGCGCTGGGGCGCTAGTGGGGCACGCTGCTGGGACCTGGTCTGTCCCTGGCCACCACCGGTTACGGTTGACAATGACTGTTTGTCAGTATTCCAGTTGGGTTGAGGAGGGCAGGGTGTTGATGTGTGGGTGACCGACTGGCGAAATCTAGGCGCGGGAATATACCTGATGAGACTGATCGAGGGCATTGCCCCTCGGTCCTTGATACGGAGGTGCTGTGGGATTATCCCGCTCTTGATTATCAGGGGCAGCCTGCAGCAAACCTGGGAGGAGCAGATGGGATTCGATAGGGATGATGCGCTGGAGATGGAGGTGGACAGGGCATCAATAAAACGTCAATTTCCGGGAGAGACTACGGATTCTTGCCGTGATCAGTATCGCCCACCGTCGATGACAACGGGCTTCAAGCTGCGAACTGGATTCTTCGCTGTTGCTACAGCTACTTCGGGCGTGATGATAATTCGTTTTCCGGATTTTCGCTGATTCTGACCGACTCTCATTTTGTTACGTCCGAGCACACAGATACAGAGAGAGAGAGAGAGAGAGAGAGAGAGAGTACACTGGGCTAGGGTTAATAGTTTTCTGGTAGGTTTTCTTTTATTTTGGATGTTTCAGTGGTGTTGTGCGTACTTAGGTTGGAATAAAGATAGATAGAACATAGATAGATCCGTAGATAGCTATATATTCTATTTGACGATATATATATATACTAGGCTGAACTCCGGGCCGCCCGGCGGCCGGCTCGTCGCCCGGGGGGGGGGCCGGGCCGCCTGGCCGGTCGCTCCGCCTGGTTGGCCACCGGGCGACCCCAGCGC